AACTTTGTAAGTGTACAGACCGTTTAATAAGAAGATACTTTATGAAGACAGTTCACTCCGCGTATACAGACAGGAGCCATCTTAAAAAATAGTCTCGATAAGTCGATCCCCGAACGACGTGCTGAGTGATCTGAACTGTATGAAGTTCAGCGAACTTCTGAACTGTATGAGCGGCGTTCGGGGATCGACTTATCGAGACTATTTTTTAAGATGGCTCCTGTCTGTATACGCAAAGTGAACTGTCTTCATAAAGTATCTTCTTATTAAACAGTCTGTACACTTACAAAGTTCTCAATGCTTCGTTTTGCATGTATGGAGCCTCATTATGTTACTGCGTTAGTGTGGGGCTATTTTGAGCCTTGTTAGTGGTATAAACTAGCGGTTTCTTTTTACTTAGTCAATGCCCCCATTACTAGCATTATACGCTAAACAGTTTTTAGAGATAAAACTCTTTACATTCGATTATCATGAAAACAAATCTCAGAGAACGGTTGACTAGGTACCGATGTTTTATTAGACCAAAGGTTCATTGTTCGCCGGAGTTCTCCTTTAAAATAAATGTAGAATAGCTCTTGTTAATCCGTCTTATTACTGCAGTTGTATTGGTTATGATGTACGATTCCGCATGCAGGCCCGTGCGGGGGTAGGTGTTGGGGGGGGGGGGGGGGGTGTGATCTGGCTTTTGATTAATTTAGCACATCCTTGCTGAATAAAAATAGCCTATTAATTTCAACAAAAAAGAAAAAGAATACTACTGACCACAAACTTGGATGGTATGAATGGTAGGTCAAAATATCTGTATTTTGGTACAAAAGATTTCTATTTGAAATAAATTATGTTCTGTTTCTTTACTCTGAATCCTAAAAAAAAGTATCAAAGGTTAGAAGTAGGGATGCACCGATCCACATTTTTTCACTTCCGATCCGATCCCGATACCTGACTTTGGATATCGACCGATACCGATACTTTTCCGATACCAGAGCTGTGTTTGCTTTAATAGTATTTATCATTATTGTTGATGATTTTATATGATGCTGAAATAAAATCCGCTCTACAGGCAAGGATGATATGTACGTATGTATGTATGTCAATATATATATAAATATATATACATATATATATATATATATATATATATATATATATATATATTAAACAATAGATAGACAATTAAACAAAGATACACATTATACAGGCCTACACAGTGCTTTAATTTCAGGAAGGTCTACAAACATTATTCAGGTATGGTCTTAAAAAGAATTATAATAAAGTAATCAAAAGTAAAATAGCACTGCAAAGTTTATCATAGATAGATTTATGCTTATTAAAGCTGAAGTAATTCATTCAAGAGCTGTGAGTGATTTTCTCTTTGCCTTTGGTTGTTTGATTCTCAGTAATGTCGCAATCGTCACATTTATACTGCTGCCCCTTTAAGAACGAGTTCAGATTTCATAGTCTACTGATGCACCATATTTTCTCCCAAATATTTCCATAACTACGTTCATTTTAGACATAATAAATTGTTTAAGTGTTAATCTCCAAGTCGGTCGGTTTGACATTTTTGTGCAGGCTACATTTGATCGTTTAGACGCGCATATGAAGCCCAGAGTATAATTTGCTTGTCTTGTTGCGGTCTGTTTCGGAGCGCGCCGCACTGGGAACAGCATCTCTTGCGCAAATTTTGTGCTTTTAATAGCTCTCTTTATTATTAAAAGCGTCCCGCAATTTAGTAACAGCAGAGACTGCATTTACTACAATCATCGATCGTGCTGATTCTGTCTTAAAGTTTGAGTTTTAGGGAGAAATGACAGCGCACCGCCGCGATGGGAAGGAAGTTGGCTAGACAGAATGCGGCTGTTGTTTTTAATGTTTTTTTGTTTTTTTCTTACCTCAATATATTCTTTAATATTTGGAAATCAGACTAATATCACAGATCTAAAGTGTAACCAGGCTACGTTTCCTCTGTCGTCACTCATTACGCCGGGCTGTCATGTTGTGCTTGCTGTTGTTGCACCGCGTGAGAGATCTCTCTCTTTCTCTTCTGGACTGCGAATTGCAAACATGCATCAAATAGTTTAATTAATACGGCTTTGCAAACATTGCACTTTGCTGTCTTGCTCTGCACTTTAGCGGTGTTTCCAGTTCCACCATATGATTTCCACACAGCGAACATCCTGCTAGCTGGCTGCAAACTGCGGAATGGATTTCCTGAGCGGGGGTGTGTCTCATTGAGCCCTATGTTTTACAGTCACTGATTGAGCTGCACCTCCGTTCAGGGTATCCATTCCACAGTTTGCAGCCAGCTATAGCAGACTAGCAGGCCCGGCGGGAATCACTTTTGGAGTCATTTCAGCAGACAACGTTAAAGCGCAGACATGGATCATAAATATCGGATTTCTCCGCAGGTTGGATCGGAAAAATCCGATACGTGAATTATGCTGGTATCGGTCCCGATACCGATACTGGATCGGATCGGCCCCATCCCTAGTTAGAAGTATATTACAATAGAATATATATTATAATATATATTAATAGAACAATATTCATTTTTTTTTTTCAAATAAATGCAGCCTTGGTGAGCATATAAGGGCTTCTTTCAAAAACATTAAAAATAGTAGTGTACAACCTTTTGTCCGGTATTTATAATAAGTACCTGTTCTTACATTAGGGATGGGCAACGATTAATCGCATCCAAAATAAAAGTTTGTGTTAAGAAAAATGTGTTATTAATATATCAAATATTTATATATAATATTAATTGTGAATAAATATATATAAAATGTATACATGCACATATTTCTTAAATATATACATGCATGTGTGAGTATTTATATATACAAATTAATTATACACACTACACAAACATATATTATGTAAACACAAACTTTTATTTTGGATGCGATTAATCGCGATTAATCGTTGCCCATCCCTACAACACTCATAATACTTTACTCGTACTTTATGATTACAGGATCCCTGTATTATACAGTAAAGCTCATGACAGAAATGATCAGAGCTAGATGATGCTGGCTTGTGGTTATTTGTATAAATGTCAAATGTTAAAAATGTGCATTAACTAGAATTAACATTATTTCACTGCTACTATAATATTTTACTATAAACACTATTAATATGATTAAAAGTAAAGTTTAAAAAAAGAACATTTTTAAAGCATCCGTGTGAAAACAAACCTGGAAAGAGAGGAGACGTTTTAGGGAGAAAAAGAAAGATTTTGCATTCCAGTGAATTATTCATGGGATATATCGTAATTTAACTTGGGAGATCAGAACACAAATGCGCAGTATATATATTTATTCATAATATTATTTCCATAAATATTCTTGTTACCATGTAGCATTCAAATTTCAAACGTTACGTTATTGTCCTGACTTTTGAAACTAGAAAGTAGAGGAAATGTTACAGTTCATCCAGTCAAACTGGCGGATAAGGTTTATTTTGTAGCGCAACCTTATGATTTGTTTCAGTCTTTTTAAGTGGAACTTCATCAAACCGAAAGCGCCACCCATTATCTAAAACGCAGTAGGCTCTTTAGGAAAAAAGGTGGATTTCCCGTTCAGTAATAACATATCACTTGCATGCTGGTCATAAATTGTATCATTGTCATATCATTGTTACCGGACGGTGGAGCCGCTGACTGCACTTCGTCTGCTGCTCCTGGTTGGGCAGGCGCCGCCTCAAATTGCGGTGTGCGATCGCCAAAATGCAGGTTTCTGCTTCCAGGTATATCTGGAGGTGTGCTGACCCAGTGCTGGAGGTCAGAGCTGGATGAATTATTGAATGACCTGGCCGAATACCCCCCACTGAATGACGGATCCTCTCTGCCCCTGTAACCCAAACCCTCAAAGCTGTCAGGCCGACGAGAAGTCATGCTGGGAATCGCTAGGGAAACTACACTGAAATGACAATATATCTCAGTCTGACTTCCTACGATGTATAACCAATGTGATGTGATACGAGTTCATTGAAAATTATAGCAATCGAAAATGCGAGAATTAATTTTTGGTTGACCGAGGCTGAGAGCAATGCCTGTGCTTAGCAAAACAACCCGTTCGAATGACTTTTGTCAGTTGACAGTTTACTTCCGGTTTGATTGTGGCTTTATGGGTTTTGTAGTTTATTGCATTGACAAGCGAAAATCACGAAAACCAGAAACACACAGATTAGATGCAATTTAATTCACAAGAGACAAGTTTGGGCCTGATATTGTAAATTATATTGATATTGTATTATATAAATGGGTTATATAAATTATATTGATTTTGTAAATTGTTAAATTATGATACATGCATCAGATTACTGTCAATGTTTGTCTATGTTATTTGTATCTGTCCCTATCTAAATAAACTTAAATAATAATTTTGGCATGACAAATAGACGCAGTGGCGAAATTAATAATATTCTGACGAGGCCCTCTATTTTTCTTCCATATTTTAATGTGAATGATGTGAGTTTTGCATATAAATACAATCAGTATACAACGACTAGGATAAATATGGGCAAGAATAAGGAAATCAATGCAAATTATAGCCCTTATAGTTTTATTTAGGTACCACATATTTTGTTAGCTTCTGGCGACAATTCAGTGTTCAAACTTGTGGCAAATTATTTTTCAGAAAGTGAGTGTTATCACTATTATCTCTTGCTAATGATGTTAGAAGTATCGCTCTTTTGAATAATAAGTAATTTAATGATTCAGTGGAACCATGAAGTTTGAATCATTCCTATAAGGAATACATTGTTTTCCTTGTGTGACATAATGTCCCCTTATGTCCCCTTTTCCTTATGGGACATAATGAATGAGGAAAAATAACATGAAGTTTTTTTCTAGAACGAGTATCTAGAACAAGTATCATGGCATCATGGCATGTTTTGTAAATTATTGCCAAGAACAACATACTCAGTGTATCATATTTGACCAGGATTTAACCCCATAGAAATACCATCTGTGGAGGAGCAAAGGGAAGGGCGCCCTCTGTTGATGAAGACTCAGACTGCAAAGGCAGCATCCGGTCAGGAGCCGCGGGGCCTGCGGTAAGATGATGCTTTTACGTCTCAAAACGTAATATCTCAATGACACACTAATATATGGTAGTTCAAATGCTGTACGAACACATATGCTGCGTTTGTAGTTACACAAATACGTAGAGATTGAGAACTTAGCCGTTTTATTAAGTTGTTTACTTGCAATAGCATCTGCTGCTGGATAGCTTGCAAGCTACACGATATTGATTTTTATCATTAAAAATTGTTGTTTAGTTATTATTTACTGTTCTTTCGCTATTATTAGTCCGTATACCGTAGTTATAATTGTAAACATTTATCTGGTTAGTTTTGTCGTACTGTATTTGCTGATGTGACATTGAGATTGATTTGGACTGAAGGGGACACTATTAGTACGGCTGTGACTTGTGCTTCAAAGGATCTTTCATCTTAGATTAACCGATTACAAACCTACCCTACCTGACGTCTTTGGTGGACGTGCCATAACCATATTTAAGCATATGAAGTCTGTATAATTTAAATAAGAGCTCAACCCACAATGATAATAACAGTTTTATAATTTGTTAATACAACTGCGAAGTTTTTGCTTATACTCCACGCATTTAAAGGAAAGGTTTATGTGGGATTTACATTGTACTTCAAGAGAATTAAATCCTCGGCGAAATAATGTGCATTGCATATTTTCAATATTAATTAGTCATACATTTTTATTTCATAACTATTATTGTAAACATGCTGAGTGTCATCACGGTGGCTTGTTTGTAATTTAGATTACATTAGAATATGACAATTCTGTGTCAACTCACCCAGAGATCCCTGGCAAAAAATAATAATAATAATAATAATAATATTTCAATAATATTTTGTTCTGGTGAAAGAAATACATAAATGGAGAAGAAATCCTAAAAATTACTTTTCATGAATGTATATTTATTGAGTAATTCACTGTTTTGTAGAAGGGGGTCAAATGACAGTTTTTCATGAGATTTGGTGTCAATTTACAGATGGGAAAAATTACTTAAGAAAGTTGGCTGGAGAGAATGAGGAGTCACGTGCCGATTTGGGCGGGGTCTGAGCCGGTCGGCCATGATGGTAGGATACGCTATCGGTTACCAGGGGCAACGCCTTTAGAACCCATAGACGCGACTAAACATTCCAGAGCTCTTAAATTTTCGCGCATTTATTATTTTGGCAGGACAGAGACGGATAAGAATACGAGAAAAAAAGGAAGAAAGTAAAGCAATGCTAAAAGATAAGGCGAAAGAAAAGGGACCTTACAGGAACAAACTCACACAAAGTGCAAAACAGCTGTATTTGGAGAAGCAGCATCAATATATTTGTTCTTTTGCACTAATAACAGTATTATTATTTTATTATTATTACTTATGTTGTCCATGAAACTAATGTTGTCCAAATAGCCTATATATTTCAGTTCTCAATAAATATTGTTAAGCCATATCAAGTTGTTTTAAACATTTATTTCAATGAAATAAAAAAGTAATGAACAAGGCACTCAAACAACACTTTTGCATATGTTCGTTAAGGCACAGCAAATAGTGAAAATCGTATACTAAAGGCATCAGCAAACCCAGCAAAACGTAAACTAGATGATTTCAGAAAGGCAGTTCATCAGATTGAATGGGAGGATATATTAATCGGAAAAGATCAGGACGAAGACAGTCAAATATTTTCCAAAAAATTAGAGAGTATTATTAATGATTTCAGTTGTAAACTTAATCCTAAAAACAAAAAATATACTGTCCCTTGGATTAATTCAGATATCCTAAAATTAATGAAAAAACGGGATCTTGCTTTAAAAACAGCAAACAGATCAAAGCTTAGTCATGATAGACAACATTTCGCTATGTTACGGAACAAAGTGGTAAAGTCATTGAGAAAAGCAAAGGCTGATTTTTTTCTGAGGATAATTAATGAGGCTAGAGGTAATTCACAAACAATATGGAATAGGTTGAGCTACTTAAAAGGTGACAATAGAAAGGATAGGTCTTCACTTGAATTGATGGTTAACGGGAAGCTGACTAACAATCCAGCTGATGTAGCCGAAGCATTAAATTATTATTTTTGTTGACTCGGTAGTCACAATTGCTCAATGTTTTTCCCCTAAGTATACTGAAACTCATACAGTTAATACAGATGAACAAGCCCTTACTCTTAGGGCAGTCTCTGAATTAGACGTCATAAGAACAATTACATCTCTTAAACCATCTAGAGCAAAAGATGTATTCGGAATGGATGTGGTAATCCTTAAAGAGCTTAGTGAGTCAATAAGTAATCCTATCACTAAAATGATCAATCTTTCAATTTCTCAGGGATGTTCCCTTGTGCTTGGAAGTCATCTGCTATTGTGCCTATATTCAAAAGTGGTGATCCTCACTCTGCTAGTAACTACAGACCTATTAGTATTCTACCTATTGTCTCAAAGGTTGCAGAGAAATTGATGGCTGCGCAAATCACTAATTATTTGAATAATAGTTCTTTTGTTTTACATCCAATGCAATTTGGCTTCAGAGCAAATTATTCAACTGAGATGGCAAATTGCTATTTCACTGAGAAAGTTAAATTTCTATTAGATAAAGGAGGGGTTGTCGGGGCTGTGTTTCTTGATTTCAAAAAAGCCTTTGACACCGTAAACCATAGAATTCTGTTGTCTAAATTATCAAGTTTTAATTTCTCGCCACATACGTTGAGATGGATTGAATCATACTTGTCGGGTCGCACACAGTTTGTTAGTATACAGAATTATAAGTCAGCTCCTCAAAGTATATCCACTGGTGTTCCACAAGGATCTATTTTGGGTCCTTTACTTTTTACGTTGTATATCAATGATCTTCCATCTGTCTGCCCTAATTCTAACATTCAAATGTATGCAGATGACACTGTTATTTATATACACGGAAATAGTGCCTCAAAAGTTGCAAACGAACTTACAGAATCCCTGGTTCATGTTGCGGCATGGCTTGAACAATGCTGCTTACAGTTAAACATCTCTAAAACAGTGTGTATGTTTCTCACCAAAACTAAGAATTTAAGTATAGTGCCAGATGTATTTGTATCAGGGGAAAGATTACAAGTTGTATCTGAATTTAAGTACCTTGGTATTTTGATTGATTCCAAATTTTCATTTAAGGCACAGGTTAAAAAGGTCTGTAAGAAGGTCAGATTTAGTTTATCAAATTTTAGATTTATTCGTGATTATATGTCGTCTGAAGCCGCTTTGATGTATATGCATTCCATGATTATTTCTCATATTACCTACTGTTTAACTACTTGGTCACATGCTAATATTACTACTCTGAAACCACTAGAGTCTTTGTATAAACAGTCACTAAAAACTCTTGACAAGAAATCCGTTCGGTTTCATCACTGCTCAATATTAAAAAAATACAACTTGCTAAGCTGGGATAACTTAATTAAATATGTACATATCTGTTTACTGTTTAAGACTATACATAGCCTGTCTTCACCATTAAAACAGTTTGTGAACATTAGAACAACTGCTCACAGATCTACAAGGGGAGGGGAAAGAGGGGACTGTATTATCCCTCTCAAAAGAAGTACCTTTAGCCAGTCTGTGTTTTCGGTCAGAGCTGCAAGGGAATGGAACTCCGTCCCATCAACAATTAGACAATTGCATGCTTTTGGTTCTTTTCAGTCTCATCTTAAAAAATGGTTATTGACAAATCAGCACTGTCAACATTAGTATCGTATTCTTGATAATAGACTTATTTGTACCAATTGCTCTTGGCTTTGTCCCTCTCTTGTGTAGCAATCTCTCTCTTTCTCTCTCTCATGTTTTTTTTTTTTTTTTTGGTTTTTTGTTTTTGTGTTAGATAATATATGTTTATTTTATTTTATCTTGGTGTTTTTCTTTTTTTTTTTTTTTTTTTTTTTGTATATGTGATGCTCTCTCTGTTTTTAGGGTGACTGTGTAACATTCTGTCAAGGGTCTACGGATGAAAAATAGCCTCTTGGGCTAATTCTGGCACATTTACACTTGTTTATTAATGTGCATTGACCCTGTAAATAAAATAAAAAAAAAAAAAAAAAAAAAAAAAAAAAAAATCCGGCGTCTCCTCGTCAGGTCAGACTCTCCCTGCTGTGTCCATTTCGGTAACCCCAGAAACTGTATTCCATTGTTCCTATGTTTTCCAAATGTATCGTGTGAGTTACTGGAGGAGTTCTTAACGCAGCAGTTACTTCCAGACATAGTAAAACAGTGCGGTATTGCGAGAAACTTTTCTACTACCAAGCTAAAAACACATGTAAACAATACTGTTTTGCCGTGGGAATCCTACCAACATGGCGGGGGGGAACTGAGCAACTGAACATGGCTCCTGTCAACAATCCTACCTACTAAAATGTCATCAACTCCTCATTCTCAATAGTTAAATCTGTTTACTTAAAGGCACACTATGCATGCAATTCCGTTTTTGTCAAACAGTGACCCCCAGAGTCACTGTGGAGTACTTGTATTTATTGTTACTGTCGTATAGACCTTATTCACCAGAGAAACGTGTGCGCTGTCATCTTTAGAATATTGTCTTTGTTTGAACTTCCGTTTTTGTGGTTTTCTATGGCATCGCTGTCGAGGAGTAATTAGCTGGTGAAGTGGATTTACTTATTGTAGAGTTAACAAAAGTTATCATGAGCATTGTAAAGTTTATCAAAAGCATTGTAAAGCAGATGTCTTAACAAATGTCAACCGGGAAATTTTTTACGAGCAGGTCATTTATACCTATGCAAGATCGCTGTGAAAATACAGACCAGAAGTCAAAAGACAACGAGCACAGCGCTGAAAAGGGGCGGGACTACATAAGATCTATACAACTCACGCAGAGCGTCTCTGCCATTGACTGGTCTCTGTACTTACAGCCTGATACCCATTTGAAGCTGTTATATTAAGGTACAAATCTTGCATAGTGTGCATTTTTTGCATTAAATAAGAGATCTAGTGCTAAAATGTGTTTTTGAACTCAAGCTGAGCACTTGTGTCCGCTGCTATCAGTGTCATGGATAGTGTCTCTTGTGGCGGTGCGTGCACAGTCTTCACTCGGACGCACTCTTCAATCTATCGCAGTTGTGGAGACTCTCTATTGACTCAAAATGAAATCACAATATATATAAACGTGTACGTGAAAATATATGAAAACGTGTCCCTGCTTGATATAGACTGTAACCACTAATGAACATAAGTATTCAGTTTTGATGAGAGAGAAAAAACGTAGAACCTGTAACCTCTGACACGCTTAGACCATTAAAGAACTCAAACAAAACTTTACGGGTTTATTTACGTGTTGAGCAGAGAGGCTCGTTCTCTTTTCCTTTTCTTAGACTCTTCCGACCGTGTTTTCTTTACTTTTCCATTGTCGAGTGTCACGTCTGAAATGCGTGCAAGTGTCTTCGTGCTTTATGTTGTGGGTGATGAAAAACGCTCAGCACCTCGTTACGCTTATGGCATTTAAAAAAACACGGCGCTCTCATTGAAAACAATTGAAAACATACACCAGGCGTTGTACCTGTACCTGCTTTCGGGTACTTTTTTTGTATCACCTCTGGCGAGGTTCTGAGCGAGCTGAGGCGATACTAAAATTTGACGTGAAAACAATTCCGACTGCTGTTTGGTCAGAGAGAATCAACACCATTCAATGTGTCATTGTTGCATGCGCCAGATGGAGTATCCAGAATAACCCCACCATTTTTTAAATAGTTTTGCCAGAGATATTTACTAAATTTACTACTAAAATTATAGCAACTCGGAAGAATACGCCGTGGTCAAACTAGGTCGAGGTGGTGCAGACTTTCCTTTGTTTGGTTGCTGAAGAGAGTATCCAGCGAGACCTTGATAGGGCTGCAAGAAACGAAAGGCGTTGCTATGACTACCGGGTACTATTTGTGGCGTAATGAAGCGAGCTGAGGCGAGTCTAGTCGAGCTGGTACTGGAAAAGTATATATGGAAGAGTCTATGGCTCAATACCGGAGATATGCAGATACACTGTTGGCATATCATACAGCAAAATATGAAGTAAACATATTTTACTAATAGACCTACCAATGTCTGTGTAAAAAACTACTGATGCTGTCATCTTTCTGTCATCAAAAGTCATTTTTACCCCTTGTAATTTGGCTCCAAATCTCATGTAAAAATTGCCATTTTGACTTCCTGTACAAAATAGTGGATTACCATGTAAATATACATTAATTACATTTAATATTTTGGCTTTATCTTTATAAAAAAAAAATTGTAAATCTAACAATTTTCTAAATGTAGAAATCTACTTGTTTCGGTAATGATAATCAAAATGTCGTGTACACATTCTGAAAAGTGAATATTTTACATTTATTGGAGAAATATAAAGAGATCTTCTTATCTAGTAGCCATCTTGAAGGAACTGGCCCATGTGCTTCTTTATTTAAAATTAAAACTTTATTTAAATTCTGAATGTGCGTTATAACAGTCCTCAAAAAAATGTTGCGGAGGATGAGAACCGCAGTCATGGACACATCGTTTTCCTACTTTTTTACATTATTATTATACATGAATATTCAGTAAATTATTTTTTCTGCCATCTGAAATAATCTAGTAGAACATCCTTTTTTTCTGATTTTTTTTTTCTTTTTAAATTTGTTTAAATTACAACATAACATACATTCACTTAAGTTGGATGCATTACGGTAATGAGAATTTTCACAGAAAATACAGTAAAATAGAAAATAAAATTATTCCCATGTTGAAATTACACAATGTGCAAGGTAAAGATCAGTATTGTCTTTTTGTGATGCTTTTTATATTACTAAATAACATGTTTAATATTTAAAATCATTAGTGCTGTGGTGTTTTAATGGTTTCGTGAGAATCACCCACTTATGTTTGTCTTTCTTTGGGAAAAAAATAAGAATGAAATCAAATTTGAGCCAGGAAAGTTTCCGAAATTTGACATGAAATGACCTACGAAGACTGTCTCAATTAAATTGTCTCTACATTGATAACTGTATTTCAGTAATATAGCAGCGGTGTGTCGTATAATCTTTGTGAACATCTTTTATCAGTGTATTGTGTTTTTAAACTAGATAATGATGGTTGTTGGCAATCTGCAAGCCTCCAGATGTAGTTGAAGGAGCATCACGTTGCCCCCGCTGGTCCACACACCCCCACACTGCATGGCTTCACTTGCTGGTGTCTCACACCGTCTCTCCATAAGCCCCGTCCTGCACACCCTCATGCGGGGGTCTCAGGCGTCTCACAGACTGACCAATGACTGCCTGGATTGTTCTGCCTGTCAGCCTGTCTGCCTTCTCCATCACAGGGATATGGATTGTGTGAGTGTTTAAGTGAAGGAGAATTACATTAAATCTCTACTGTTTATTTATTTAGCTAATATACTATACATTCAGACAAGACATGTACTTATTGCAAATAATCATTCAAATATTATGTTTTCTAGTTACGCCATGGCAGTAATGAACCACCATGTCTGTCCTGTTGAGAACTGGTACGTTAACTCTATAAAGCCTTCTGTATCTATATATAATTTATCAATGTATATGCACAATCTACTACATGCCTTCTGTCATTTGAGTGATAGCTTATACTTTTCAAGTAATTGAAAAGCATTAATTAATTAGCAAGTAATTGTAGCTAAATAAAACGTCTTCCTTAAGGTTGTGGTACACCTCTTTTTGCTGTGAAATCTTTACTGATTTTGACGTAAAATTAAAACGTGAGAATACATTTTATATTGTTAGTCAATTTTCAATTTAAACACTTACTGCTGTAAAGAAACATATGTTTACATCATTTTACATGCATTTTTTTTTTAAATCAGCGAGTATCAAAAATTATATGTCCGTTATTTGATTTATCTTACTATGACATTATTGGGAGAAATACTGTAAAGTGACAACTGATAATATACTGCTATATAGATCTTATTAACAAGCCATCAGAATTTAATGTTACTTTCTAGACAAATAAATGTCATTTTCTGCTCAGTTCAAGGTGCTTTTTTTCCTCCATGAATATGAGCTCCATATTTTATATCATATTATATGAGTCATTTAAGCCTGATGTATCAAATATGAAACTCAGAATTAAATAAATAAATAAAAAAACACGGTTTCGGTTAGCAAACTATTGCATAAAAATGAAAACACCACATACTTTTGTTAACTTTTATGCATGGTTCTTTGTATAATAGGACATACAATTTGACATGTACAGAGGAAACAGCTAAGAGGGGCTTCCCAAAGTCCTGCTGCACTCTTCAAGACATCCCCCTCATTAGGTAAAAATTACTTCGAATTTATCTGGAATACCACAAAATTACCACATTTTCGAGATAGCTCCTTAGTAGTATTGTTTTGTACCACCTTGTCATGCAACGGTTGTCAAATATGTGGTTTTCTGCTCTTTTGACAGTAAATGTGGTTGCTATCCACCAGAGAGCTGTCTCTTCAGTTTGATAGGCAATGTTGGGGCCATTATGGGTAAGAATTACAGTATGAAAATAATTAAACGAAATAAACGTACTTTTAAATCCGAAATTTTGTTGATTTCCTAATCTAGGCCTGTATTGCAGAAACATCTAATTTAGAAGGCTATCCAATCTGTTTAGTTACCATAATTTCACTTAAGAAATGTAACATTTTTTCAAGTCTTAAGTATAAAAAAGATATGGCATTTCATATTTAAATGTGTGTTTTTTTTTGTTTGTTTTTTTTGGGGTCAATATTACTTCAATTTGTCTGAGAAATACACCTCTGTCTAAGACAATGGATTATTATGATCATTTTGTAATGTGTCCCTGCAGTGGTTATGGTGTGCATGCTGCGTTATGCTCAAGTGATTGAACACAGTCATCATTGCTGGACCAACACAAGTTCTTTGGTGTCCGGCTGCATTAATGCCCTGGGTTTGGTCATGGTTGGGAACTTTCAGGTGAACATATGATAATAGACTCACAACTTCAGCCCATTACATATAAATCTAAATAAACTTCTTCTCATAGTCTCACCCTCTCCATCTGTTTTCTTTTTTTTTTTTCTTAGGTTGATCATGCCAAGACTCTTCATTATGTGGGAGCCGGTGTAGCTTTCCCTGCCGGCTTGTTGTTTGTGTGTCTGCAGTGCGTTCTGACATACCGTATAGCAGAGACAGCGCTGGACTACTGGATGGCTCATGTGCGTGTGGCGCTCTCAGCTGGAGCTTTGGTGTCGCTTATCCTCAGTATCCTTACCAGGTGTTCATAAGTCATGATCTGATACATGAAACTCATGAGTACATTTGAACATTAAGCAAACAGCCTTAAACAAAATGGTTAATTGCTTTTCAATGAATGATAAACAATACAATGTCCAGTAAATAAATGCATTAGTAGAGTTTTCACAATATTTTCACAAATATTTCAGTAGTCCAATGCTGCTGCAATTTCACGGGTTGCAATACCAATTTCGATTTTTTTTTTCTTTTTCTTTTTTAAGTAACATTAATGTTTAAATTAATAGACTAGTTAAATAGTTTTTCAAATAAATATTTAAGTAAACGGACTGAAATAAAGAGACAAAATAAACATGCGTAAAGTATCAGGAAACAATCCGTAATAAAGAAAAAAAATACACAACAAAGAAAATGCTTGAAGTTTTTGAAGTGTTTTTCAGTGTCTTAAATAATAAAAAAGATCAAAGAATAAAAAGAAAACCATTAGACAAAGACAATAACAATGCTTTGCCAGTTTCATGTATGTAAAGAACATTGAGTAATCATTGAGAAATGTAAACAATCCAAAAGTTATAATGCTGCTATCAATGGGTAGGATAGGCAATATCGGAGATGCTAGCAAAAAGATGCTTTGAAATCATGAGATCTCAACCAATCTTCACAACCACTCCCTTCTCTAAAGCCACACCTCCTTCAAAACACAAACGAGGGTTACACTTCGATAGTCCACTTTAGACATTCTACTGACTATAATGGCGCTTTTCCATTACCAGTACCAGCTTGAATCGGCTCAGCTCGACTCAGCTCACTTTTCGTTCCGTTTCGTTCCGTTCCGTTCTGTCCGCCACAAATAGTACCCGGTCGTCATAGCGACGCTTTTCGTTCCTCGTTGTCAGGATCCTCTCTTTGGCCATCAAACAAAGGAAAGTCTGCACCTCCTCATTTGACCACTGCGTATTCTTCTGAGTTGCCATAATAATATTAGTTAGTTTAGTAACTATCTCTGGGCAAACTATTTAAAAATAGCGGGGTTAGTATCGCATTTTAGTATCGCCTCAGCTCGCCTTTAACTCGCTCTGAACCTCGCTGGAGGTGGAACAAAAAAAAAGTACCCGAAAGCAGGAACAGGTACAACTTTTACTCAGTGGAAAACCAAACAAATCGAGCCGAGCCGGTACTGTGTAGTGGAAAAGCGCCATAAGTAACTTTTCAACTTAATGTCATCTTACTCTCATTAGAGTATTAAGTAGACTATAGTAGACAGTCAGTAGACTGTTTTAGATGTTAAGGTTCAGGTTAGTAGAATAAGTTGACTTGTAGTTGCCAAGTCTGTTGGGGGACCAACAAAATAAAGTGTTTACAAATATTAAGCAGATAGTCTACTAATCCTCTAATTAGAGTTAGTTGAGATGTAGCTGCAAAGTTACTTATAGTTAGTAGAATGTCTGAAGTGGACTATCAAAATAAAGTGTTACCCAAACGAGTAAACTCATAGCAGAGTCTGCAAAGCGTCATGTGACAAAAGATGGTATAACCTCATGTCTCAAAGCACATAAACATTACAGACTTAATCTGATCCCTGTTTGTGAAACCAGGCCTAACAGGGCAAAACGATGAATGCTTGCATTACAATTAACAAAGCTGGCCTAGCCTTCTAGTAAAACACTTGTTTCAATCTGTAATGAACAGTAATATCACTGTTATACAATTTACATGACTCAGAGCAGTGTTTTTCCTTAAAGGGGTGGTTGATGGTTGAACTTTAGTTAGTGTGTAATGTTGCTGTTTGAGCATAAACAACATCTGCAAAGTTACAACGCACAAAGTTCAAAGCAAAGGGAGATATTCTCTTTTAAAGAAATTGCTTTTTAAGGTCTACAACAAACGGCTAGTAGTGACATCACGACCCCTAAAATTTACGTAAGCCCTGCCCCCGGAAACATGATTTATACCGTAAAACTTCAAATAATAGCCGAGTCTGTGGTGTGGCTGCAGGTTTGGGTAAATAAAAGCCGGCCTTAAAGGGGACATATCATGCAAAATCCACTTTTTTAGCCCTTAAATGCATTTTGTTGTATATTTGGAGTGTTTATAAGTACAGAAAAGATGAAATTATTCTCCTCAGGTGCTTCGTTTATATCTTTATATTCTGTTTTGGTCATATTTTTCAACCTGTTCAGATTTTTCTGTTCTCTATGACGTTTTTTGAACTATCACGTCACAGTATTTGCAGCGGAACTGACAAATAAGGACATTGACTACCTGCCCAACACTTCGAGCAATCCGCCATTATTATTTCTCGCTCCGATTTTGTAGTCCAAGCTCAGTGATGTAGAAGTTACAAGAGGGCAAGTCAAAATGTTCGGTTCTTGGATGTAGTGACCTGAAGCACTTCAAGGATCCCCACTTCAACAACCTCCGCCAGTATACAGAAGGGTTTGCCGATCGACTTCTTCTGAATGAGGGGTAAATTCCTTCTATCATTTAGCTGCTGTGTTTTCTGATGCTTTTATACACGTAAGTTATCATATTATTATCAATACAGATTTTTAGTGGTAAGATTAGACCGTAGTCATTTATCTTGTCAGTGTGCTTGTTTTAACAAGAGAAATAGTCGACTTTCACTAATAACACAAAATAGTTAACTTAACTTACATACCACTGCATCCATATGAAGACGTTGTTCTGCAGGTTCGTCTTCGTCTTTTTCAAATTTCTCGCTCTGGCTCGAATATGTAAGGCTTGATGGACAAGTCTTCCGTTGTTGACATTTTGTTAACGAGTGACTAAAAATGTTCTTTGAAGCTATAGTATATAATCATATATCTCTTATCAAACTACAATAATGGCCGAACGCGGGGAGTTGAACCGAGTGTGAACTTAGCGACCTGGAGAGCGGGCGGGGTATGACGCAACTCCATTTTATTTAAAGGGGCCGCTTTGAAACGGGTCGCTCACAGACGCACATCAGAAAAGGTAGAAAAGGGGCCTTTGGAGCTATAATAATGAGGAATTCAGACCCAAGCATTGCAGTTATACTTTATATAGACCACAAATGTATGATTTATAAGTAAAAATGAATGATTTAAAAGCATGATATGTACCCTTTAAATAGAGGCTGGGTCTGTTTTTTAGTTTCGGGTAGTTAATCTTCTAAAACCGTCAGATCGTCCGCTTTATGACGGCCGCCAAAGCAAATTTTTGTCCCGCCAAAGCCTATTTTGATCGGTGAGTGATGCTGCGATTGACAAGACGCATAACGAGCAGAAAGAGAGAGAGCGAGGAGCGCGCGCGCACACTCTCACATCTTCAAACAACACTAGCGTTGTCTTGCTCTCTGTTGCGCATATTAATTAAATCAATCGATAGTAAAAGGTTGGAAGACCGCAGTTTCACGTGGAGCATTTGGAGAATTTTAGAAATTAGAGACTCAATGAACAACATCACAACATTAAATTATAAAGGCCAGGACGGAATATGCTAATCAATGACTAGAAGATAACGCTAAATCACATAAATTCATCAACTCTTGAGTCTCTCCATCTTTTTAACATTGGTTTGAACATAAAAGGCTAAACGTTTTTGAAATTTTTGAAACAAATGTCTGAGTGAGGTCATCAAAGCTGATAAGAACCAGCTGTTGTAGCTCCGCCCCCTGTGCTGGGAGCAGCAGCTCATTTGCATTTAAAGGGACAGACACAAAAACGGCTTTTTTGCTCACCCTCAAAAAGTGACAACTTTAACATGCTATATAAAAATGATCTTTGGGGTATTTTGAGCTAAAAATTCACATACACACTCTGGGGACATCAGAGATTCATTTTTTCATCTTGTGAAAAGGGCATTATTTCACCCCTTTAATAGAAATCGAACTCTAAAGTTTTTTTTTTTTTAATTTTTAGTCAGATCTTTGTTTTATAACCATATTTTTAATGCTGAAGGTTTCATTCCTTAACATCATACTTCCCATTCAAGGTGGCATCTTCTTCGTCCATGAGAGTTTTGTTTTGCAGCACGCCGCAGCGATCTGTGAATGGGTCTTCACGGTGCTGGTCCTGGTGTACTACGGCACCTTCACCTATGAGTTTGGCACCGTCAACAGTGACACCATAATGGCAGCCTTAATGAAACGCAGTGAACATCACCATCAGGGGTCAGCGGTCATCATGGGGGGTATCGGGAAGGGTGTTGCAATGGGATGTGGCGCCCGCAGTCTCAAGTCACCCGGTGGCAGCAGCACTTCCACACACCTCAACTGTACACCAGAAAGCATCGCCATGCTTTAGGGGTTAACCGCTATGGTATTCCCTCAGACCTCAGCGTATAGACTCAGAACTTTTCGTCTGGCTCACGGATTTGTGAAACTCTGATACAAGCAATACAGAATCACAGTAAGTTTACAGACTTGCTGATTATAATCCAACGGTAATGACCACTCGGTTCGGTTGTAACTAAGGTATTTTGCATGATATTTTGCATTCATGTTTTAGAGAACGCAACTCATAGTACAGACCCAGTAACCAGCACAGGTGATTCCTGCCTCTGATAGATAGGAATGTTTCAATTTACTGTTCAGACTGCAATAACTCATGTCTGAAGGTGCATTCACACTGACAGCGATTCAATTGTTCAGGGGCAACAAGTTAACTGTTGGTTGCTAGTAGTATTTCAGCATCAGTGCTGCAGGGATGACATATTTTTGTAGGCCAAAACTGAGTTAGCATTTTAGCACTTCCTGTTCTATTGTCCCGAAAGTCCATTGGGTTTTTGCTTAAACACCTGAAAAAGGATCTGTGGTTAACTCAAGATACTTTCATGTTTTTCCCTTGTGATTTTACTTGTCTTGAAAAAGGCGATTGCTAACAAGTGGCTAAATGGCACTACAGAAGTTGTCAGAAACACTAAACATCAACAAACTGAACAATTAAATTCACTAGCCGTTTTATCAGCCTCGTGTGTATAATCAAGGAATGTTTCACTGTAAAAAAATATTTTCAAGATTTGTTATCACAACATATTTTCTTTTGTCAAATCAACTTTATAATAATTTATTTAGTTGAGATAACTTATTATTTTGAGTTTCTGATGGTTAAATTAATCTACTTCATTGTATTAACTCACTTTTTCCAGTTCAATCAACTTAAAATTTTAAGGCAACCCAGGTTACTTACTTTTTTAAGTTAAACCAACAATATTTTTTTACAGTGTAGTAATCACAACATTTTTTCTTTTGTCAAATCAACTTAAATAATTTATTTAGTTCAGATAACATATAATTTTGAGTTTCTGATGGTTAAATTAATCTCCTTCATTGTATTGACTCACTTTTTCCAGTTCAATGAACTTAAAATTTTAAGGCAACCAGGTTACTTACTTTTTTAAGTTAAACCATCAATATTTTTTTTACAGTGCAGAAGCTAAGTGATGGTAATTTTTGAAGTCTTCACCATGTCGTTTTTTGCTTATATGCCTATGTTTAGCTTTTTATTTCTGGTGATTGGATTTATTTAGGCTTGTAAGTTCATACAAATTGTGTTCATAACGTTTGTTGGTCACAGAGTTTATTTTCTCCATTAATCCAATGGAAAAATCCTATTGTTTTTTGTCAAGGGAACCAGGGTGATGGCAACTTCTAGGTTTGTCCTTAAAAAATGTGCCGTCCCTGCAGCACTCTACTGGTAGTCGGTGCATTGAATCTCTGCTTTTACATAAAGTTTTGAAAAACTAATGCAATTTTTCGCAACGGTCATGTCGCCCTAAGTCTCCAACTCTCATCGGACATTAGTGACTTTGGTTGCTTTGTCTTTGTCAGTGTGAATCTATTACATAGCTGCCAGCAATACAAAGACACTTGTTTAGACAAAGAATATAATTAGCTAAACCCATCCAACCTTCCGTAACCCGCTTAATCTGTAGAAACTGTGATTACACAACGGGTCAAGCCATCACTGTAGCAGTGGAGATGTTAAGTCAGTCACACCAGCCTTTGCTGCCAATAGTTGGGTTGGAAAGAGGTTGAGGAACAGTTTATGTATTCATTCCATGTGCTCACAGCTTAATGGCATGACATCAGGTGTCGTGGACCTTCTGTCCTATAGCTCTGGATACATGTGGCTGTATTGACTAAGATTTAAGTGCATCTCTGTGCAACCTTTTCAAACGTTTTGGTGCTTTTGCCCAGTTTTTTCATCACTTGATCCAAAAAAACTGCCTGCATTGATCAATTCCAGGTATCTTGCGAAGAAATTCTAAACATTTCAGGACAACTAGAAAATAGATTTTGTGACTATTATTCTGATGTTTTGGTTTTAAGCACAGTCATATTTAGTTTATATTTCAGTTTTAGAAATATTAGGCGATATTTATCAGTTTTCCAAAAGACTATGCGTCTGTATGACGAATCGAAAATGCTGTATTTCAATGCTTTTGCGTGCAAACGCGAGGATTTTTAGAGAAAACCAAGACATTTGAATTCAAAAGTTTAGTTTTTTGTGGGAAATACATTGCGTTCCCACAAGAAACTTTGCATTTGCATCGCAAAGATTTTGTGTTCTCTTAAAGAAGTTTTGGATTTACTCAAAGGAAATACTTCGCGAGCTAATGCACATAATGTTTCTCAGGGAAACTCAATCCTTTTGCAAGCGAACGCAAAGTTTCTCTGGGAAACACTCAATTTTGTATTCATCCGAGTAACTTCAATGCTCGCAAAAGCATTGAAATACGTTTTTTCTCCTTTTTTTAACACAAAACTTGAATGCATGGCATTTCCATGAGAATCTTTGTATTTGCTCACATAACTTAACTGGAACTGATGATGGAGAAAGAAAAAAAACCTGTGCTTTTGTGAGCAAATGCAGAGTTTCTCTGGGATCTCTGGGAAAAGCATTCATTTTGCAAGAGAACACGAACAATTTGCGAGCTAACCCAACGTTTCTAAGGGGAATGCAAAAGTATCGTATTGCTTAATTTGCAAGGGAACGCAAAAGCACTGAAATTACAATTTTCCTCCCATCTCATATTTTTCCCATCACTTTTTTGAACTTAAGAAATATATATATTTCAAAACAGGAAATGCTACAGAAAATGCACGCTCTTATATCTGCATTTGAGATGAATGTTTAGATGGTGAAGCGAACTAATTGTTATTTATTTGGTGCTGTCGACTGCTGAAGTGTATCTCTAAGCGGTCAAACTATTATTTGTATGCTTTTCAGGTGGATTTGGAGATAGTTTCGTGTAATGAAGACATTTTTTGTTTCTCCAACATGCCTATTCCTGTCACAAAACAGAATCAGAGGTCTTATCCACTGTCTTTTTTTAGTGCATTGTTTTAAAACATTACTATTTGTAAATGATGTGCATTTGATACGCAGAGCTGCTTGTAAGTGAATGCCTTTAGCTGAGCATAATATTGCATAGAATATCATTAATGCGTTTGAGACTGTGGTCTAGTCAGTAATTATGAAATGAAGAAAGCTTCCACACCATTGTTAACACCTCAGTTCCTACAAATCATTTAGTAATATATAGAATACTTTGAAAGAAATTCTCTTGTATTGGAAATGATGTAGTGCACTAAAGGGGAAACCTGAGTATTGTTTTTTTTATTTTATTTAGTGGACCCGAAATGTGAAATCCTTAATAAGCTGTATTTTGACTGCACAGTATTTTTGTTTTTAGATATTGCTCATTTGAAAGCAATATGTTATATTGAGAATTATTATAAAAACCAATGACAGTTGGTTATGTGTTGTATCTGTTTTATAATTTCTACGTTTGTAATGCCAGACAATGAAACCATGCAACTTCTGTTCAGGTACTTGCAAAATACCTCTGAAAATTTTACTGTGGTGAGATGTTCACAGTTTCTTAAAGGAGCTGCTAAGATATACGTTACAGAAATGTATTAATTATGTTGTTTCTGTTGGAAGTGTGGAAGGCCAAATTCAAACATCTGTATAGATGCCCTGATGCCTCATAAAGCTCAGTTAAAATAATTACATTTAGTCCTCTTTTTGGTTATTCAGAATTATATGTACATTTTACACTGCCCGGCCCCCCAAAAAATGCTAAAAATGCGGCAAATGCTATGATTGAATCATTATGTTTCATATAACATCACAACATTTATTTCCATCAAGGGGTGCATCAGTGTTTGGTCAAGATCTTGTATTGACAATGCACTCTGTAAAGTCTCCTCCAGCACATCCCAAAGACTTTCACTGAATCTGGTCTGGACTCAGAAGTGCCAATTCATGTGTGAAAATGATTATTCATGCTCCCTCCCAACCATTCTTTCACAATTTGAGCCTGATGAATCTTGACATTGACATCCTGGAAAACGGCCATGATGTGTCTTCTTCCTACGTAGTTGTTTTAAGATATAAAAAGCTACACACTCCATCAGTTGGGGTTTGAAGAACTGTATCCAAACATATAACATGCTAGTAACACAATAATCACTGCAATAATGATCCAACCATAGACTCTTGACTTTTATTTCTGGGCTGGCAGTGTATGAGAATATCAGTGCAGCTGTTTGAATTAGGCCCTGGTCACTTTTTTTTTAGGCTACAATAATGAATTACTTTTTGTTCAATTGAAAATTCACAAATTGACGTGTCAAAATGAGAAGACTTTTCTAAAAACATTTTTTTTTTGTTTAGAAGTCAGATCGTCTGATAACATTGTGTAATGGAAACTGAAATAGAGCTATCGACTTTCAAGTTCAAACTGCAACTTTCTGTTGAATTATGATCCATTCTGCACATTTCCTTATCTTTCACAAGGGTTTTGTTTTGTGAAATCAAATGTACCTTGAGATACACTGTTCACTCAGAAGGATGTTTTCTGCCAGTATCAAACTGTTTACAGCAGCTATGTCATGTTTAATGTATATAATAATAGGTAACCATTAAAACCACTTAAAAATGCAAAATAAATTATATTTCAGACACCATTCAAGTGATTTTCTGTAATCCCTCCTATAGTCATTTTTGGTTAAACTGGTTTCTTGGACATGACAATTAGTTCAAATGGTCACCACAGTCGTGACGTGGTGGAAAGGGGGATTCACATCATAGATGTGCAGTCAACAAATCTGCAGAAACTGTAATGATATCATTTTAATTTGAACCAAAATATCTGGGGAATGTTTCCAGCACCTTGTTGAAGATGTCACTGATAATAAAAGCATTTGTTGGACCACCACCTCTAACATTGGATTGACACCTTGGGGCCAGTTGTTCAAAACATTTAATCTGGATCAAAATGAGTCCATTGTTTTCCTATCCAGGATCAGGCAATCCGTTTTAATTTTATGCCGGTTTTTCAAAGCAACATTGGACTGGATCACCCTGATCCAGATACACAGTTTTACCGGATTACCAGTGCTCTAAATGGGACAACATATCACAATGTGGGCTACCAGCTATGTAAAAACAGGTAGAAGAGCCAACATGGGGTCACTGTAAGTGTTTCTTATTTTGAGACAAAAGACAAATGGGCACAAGATGATTTTTATTTTATTTTTACTTTACTATACTGAATAGCTTAATTGTTAGCCTATGTCTTCTTATCACTGTTACAATGGTTATACAAGTTAAGTACAAAATATAAATAAAAGTATATACACTAAATGATACAAATGTATTATTTGACCAATTTTAAAGTTTTACTACATTTTCTTCCTGAAATCCACTTTGAAAGCCTACCCCCTGTTGGGATCAGGACAATCCTGTTTTTTTTTTTGTATCAAAGTTATCCAAATCCCACTGACAAGTTTTGAACAACACAAACTGAAGGTTTGATCCAGATTAAAACTAGGATTGGATTCCTTGATCTAATCTGATTTCAGATTCCTTTTTTTCCCTTTTGAACAACCCATTTTCAAGATTTGATCCAATCCGATAACCAAAATCCGATCAGCTTACCTTTGAACAACTGGCCCTTGGGAATTTGAATGCCAAGACAACACCTTGAACTTTTTTGTCATGTTCATCAAACCATTCCTGAATCATTTTTTGCAGTGTGTCTGGGTGC